GTAGGGACTAAATTTAAAATAAGATACGACATCGAGTACGTCGAGGGATATTAATATCAATTGATTCACTCGTTATTGATCAGACAATTGTGGATGGAAGTTTATAATTAAAAGTCATCATTATAATAAATCATAATTAAATTAATTTAATATCAGCTTGATATGTATTTTAAAATGTTCCTTAACTTGAAATGAAATGATACGCACATACACTAAGTCAGAGGCCGCGGAAGCGGGGGGGGGGGGGAGTGTACAACCCCCCCCCCCCCCCCCCCCAATAATTGAAAATTTTCAATTTTTTCCAGCGACAAGAGTAGATTTTTTGTACGTGTTGGGCTTATTTTGTGAAATTTTATTGCAAATAGCCCCTTTACACCCTCCCCAAATTCCTTACACCCCCCCCCCCCCCCCCCCCCTCCCTCCCCCCCCCCCCCCCCCCCAATCTTAGGACCTTCGCGCGGCCTCTGCACTAAGTAATAGGTGTCCGTATCTTACACTGTTCACTAATAGAGTGCTATAGCACATCATGATCACAGCAAAATTTACGAAATATCTATCAATGTGAAAGTGTACTCTAAGAAATCGACATCATTTTTTTTCGTAAATCAAGAATAAATTACCAGTATATACTTACAAAAAAAACCAGTAGCTTCCACAGTGATTAAAACTTCGTTCTCGTTATTCAGACTATCTGTAACATTTCCATGTGGTTGTTCGAAAATCTCTGAAAACAGGTTGAAATCTCTGATTTCGAAGCACAGAAAAATATATGGATCTCACTACTAAAATTCAGCATAATGAAAAAAAAAATTCTGATTTGGATTTCTGTCAACTACTCATTCACTGTTTTGTTTTGCTCATATCGATTTATATATACAGGTGTCTATCCCAACCTTTCAGTTATATTCCAAGATTTTCGAAATCCAACTTTTCTCTTCAATTCGTCATTTTTAACTAAAATTCCTATTTCTTATTTCATCCCAACCGCAATCAGAATTGGATTTTCTAAATATTTCCCGAATTGACTAATAGATTAATTAGAGAAATATCTGTTTTATTGGTGAAATCACGAAAAACCATAAAAAATCTAAAAATCAGATTAAAATAGTTGATTTGGATTTCTGTCAACTACTTATTCACCGTTTTATTCTGCTGATGTCGATCTATGTAAACATCTGTTTACGATAGGGTTCCAATTATATTCGAGAAAGTTTTGTTGACGTAAGTCGTATATACAAGGAAGGGCTCTTCACGGTTCATAGTGCAAATGTAGGGAAGATCCTACTCGATTTGTAGCGCATATCTAGGAAAGATCCTACTTCATTCATTGCCAATAAATAGGATCAATCCTACAGGATTGGTAGCGTGAATCTAGCAAGTTCTCTGCCAGATCTCGAGAAACCTTTAGAATAGTAGTGAAATTCTTGGGAATCATTAGACTACTTCCGTGGAATCCAGAGAAATCTGAATGAAATTCTTTTGAAATCCAGAGAAATCCGGATGAAATCTAGAGGAATCCGGATAAAATCCTTCTGAAATCCAGAGAAACCTAGATGGAATCCTGTTGAAATGCAGAGAAATGCTGCGAAAAGGTGAAGATATGTTAGTGGCATTCAGTAAAGCCTTGAAGAAATCTTAGGAAGCTTTAGTGGAATCTTAATTAAATTACGCTGAAATAGGGGAAAATCAGGACCAAATCTGTCACACTCCGACTATTGTCGGCGATACCTCTTCCGGATTTCTTCATTTTCCGTTCTTTCTCTGTGGGAGGATCCGAGCGGTAACCAGAATTTCCGATGGTCGGATTCGACAGGAACCGATCGGATCTTTTCCGGCATAATTCGGTCCGGAATCCGTTAGTTAGGAATCCGGCAAAAATCGGGCCGACTCCGATCGGTTTTTATATGGAATTCGCCGGATTTTGGAGCAATCTGATATCGGATCCGATGGTTTCCGATAAGATACACAGGTCGTATTGAATCTCCTGGGTATCGATTGGTATATGACTCAATTTGAATAGTGAAAAATTTGCAACCAAAAAATTTCAAAAAAAATATAGGTCAATTTTTCACACTTTTTTGAGCTATTTTTGAGGGTATCTGTGGTAGAACAGCCCTAGCGAACCAGAGGTAAATCTTTAGATCATAATATTTTGGATTCATCTATGGTAGATAAGGCCTGACATTCCTAGGGGGTCAACTCCAAAATCGGTTGACCCCCATGTTTTTCGATAGTCGAAAATATTGGATATTTTCGTGGAACGTCTCTTAATAGCAATATCTTTGATATAAAGATTAAATTGGTACTTGGTATTGAAAATATTAATAGACTCGAAGGATGAGAGGCCACGAAAGCCAGTGTGTAAATTCCCTCAATAATTGAAAATTATTCATTCTTAATCAACAAACTGCAGAGATTTTTTGAATTTTCTACCACCTTCATGAGACATTGTCTTACAAGCCTTGCACAACATCACCGTAATCTTAAGACCTTCGCGTGATTTCTATGAAGAACATAGATAATATCGTTGATGTTAGAAATTAGATTAGAATCAATTAAATATCAACGGTATCTATATGAAGAAACAACTTAAAATAAATAATGGCTTTTAATGCAAGTATCTAGTTACAATTTTGATTTTGGACATGTTTCTATCATTTCACAATTCGAAAATAGTATAAATCTTGCATTGACATTCTCGCTTGTAATTTACAATATTTTGTTTTCTAAATTCTAGTTTTTCTATTAAATTGGTTCGTTGTCAAAAAGAAAAAACTAATTTGAACTATGCTTGATAACTAACTCCATCTGTGTTGTCTTAATATCAAACTTTTTTACGTTAAGTAAAAAACTAAACAAAACATACTATTGGTTGTTAATCGCAGGTAGAATACCAAATCCATCGGACGTGGACAGATTTTTTTTTGTTTTGTTGGTTTGTTTACGTGTACCGTTTTTGAATCTCAATTGTAATACCTTAGAAATTCTTTTTTCTTATTATTATTTCAGAACATCTTCTTAGTTTGATCATATTATTTATCATTAAAATATGGTAAGTTTTTTCTTAAATATTTATTTATCAAAAACTAAATAAATAAATAATTTTGTTAACTATTCTAGCCTTTGCGCCTTGACGTTAAGCGCAAATTATCCGTTCGATCAGATCGCGTTAAATGTGTTGATATTCATCCTAATGAACCATGGATCTTAGTAACACTTTATAATGGTCATGCGCATATTTATAATCATGAAACACAAGTATGTTAATTTGGTTTAAAAAATGTATGTTTTCTGTCATTGTTATTTTTTTTCTCTTTTAGCAATTAATTAAAACATTCGAAATATGTGATGTACCTGTTCGTGCTGGTAAATTTATTGTTCGAAAAAATTGGGCAGTTACTGCATCTGTAAATTTCATATTAATTTATTAAATCATATCATAGAATTCTTTTTTTTCTTTTTCAAGGATGATATGCTTGTACGTGTTTATAATTATAATACACTTGAACGTTTACATCAATTTGAAGCACATAGTGATTATATTCGTTCAATTGCTGTTCATCCAACACAACCCTATATTCTTACAAGTAGTGGTAAGTTTTATTTTAAACTAAAAATTGTTTCTTTTTTTTCAAATTTTTGTTCTTGTAGATGATATGACAATTAAATTATGGGATTGGGATGCTAAATGGGCATTAAAACAAACTTTTGAAGGACATATTCATTATGTTATGCAAATAGCTATTAATCCAAAAGATAATAATACATTTGCATCAGCTTCACTTGATCGTACTGTCAAGGTAAGAATGAATATCATTAATCATTATGTAGAACACGAACTAAAAGAAGTATTGAAGTATAGGGGTCAAAATTTGAACCCATCGCCTTCTCTCATAGACTTTGACAGACACTAGTCAGGAATCATGACAGAAATCTTAGCAATACTTCTCTTCTCTCCTCCGTGACTGATATCGATCAAGTTTTATATTTTAATTCCGTATGGATTACACTAATAAAATTTTGAATTTAGGTATGGCAATTAGGATCTACTCAAGCAAATTTTACTCTTGAAGGTCATGATAAAGGTGTTAATTGTGTTGATTATTATTCAGGTGGTGATAAACCTTATCTTGTTTCGGGTGGGGATGATCGTCTTGTTAAAATTTGGGATTATCAAGTAATTTTTATTTCAAAACAGAAAAAAAAAATTTTTTTTTTGCCGTTCTACAGAACAAAACATGTGTACAAACATTAGAAGGTCATTCACAAAATGTTGGTTGTGTTGCATTTCATCCTGAATTACCTATTATATTAAGTGGTTCAGAAGATGGTACTGTTAAATTATGGCATTCAAATACATATCGTCTTGAATCAACACTTAATTATGGTCTTGAAAGATGTTGGACTATAGCATGTTTAAAAGGATCAAATAATGTTGCACTTGGTTATGATGAAGGAACAATGATGATTAAAGTAAATAGATTTAAACACAAAGAATCAAATGAAATTAAATTTGATTATTTTTCTTTTTGTCTAGTTGGGTCGAGAAGAACCAGCCATGTCAATGGATGCATCAACTGGTAAAATAGTTTGGGCAAAACATTGTGAAATTCAACAAGTTAATTTAAAACAATTAACTAGTGATCAACAATTAAAAGATGGTGAAAAAGTACCATTAAACATAAAAGAAATGGGTAGTTGTGAAATATATCCTCAAACATTATCACATTCACCAAATGGACGGTAACAATAATTTTTAAACGAAAACAGAAAAACAAAAGAGAAAACAATAAATTCTTTTTTATTTTAGATTTGTTGTTGTTTGTGGTGATGGTGAATATATAATTTATACAGCAATAACGTTACGTAATAAAAGTTATGGTAATGCCATGGAATTTGTTTGGTCACAAGATTCATCAGAATATGCTGTACGTGATGGAAATATGGTTAAAATATTTAAAAATTTTAAAGAAAAAAAAACATTTAAACCTGAAGCTGGCGCTGAAAATATTTTTGGTGGATCTCTCTTAGGTGTTCGATCTTATTCAGGTTTAACATTTTATGATTGGGACACATTAAGTTTAATTCGACGTATTGAAATTGTCCCAAAAACTGTATGTTGTTCGAGTTTTTAAATTGATATTTAATCGAATAAATGAATTGGTTTGTTTGTTTGTTTTTCTTTTATAGATTTATTGGAGTCAAAATGGTGAATTAGTTTGTATTGCAACAGAAGAATCATACTATATTCTTCGTTATAATCCTCAAGCTATAGCGGCTGCTATGACTAATAGAGAGCTTGTATCTGAAGATGGAATTGAAGATGCATTTGATGTAAGTTTTTGTTTTAGTCGATTTTTTTATCTTCTGATTGAGATTAATAATATAATTAGGAAGAATGTGGGTATAGGTAAACATTCGATAAAGAGCTGGTGTCAAATTAACGTTTGAAATATTAATATGAGTCATTCCTAACTTGATTCTACTACGAAAAATCGAAATATATTGCGGACTACAAAAGGGCATCATCTACCTCCTACTTTTTAGAATAGAAGTGGTCTTCCAAAGACCCATCAGGCTTACTATCTAAGTGTTCCAATTAGGATGATAACTAATTATATAGATGAATACACCGAAGTCTCTTCTATATCATAGAGAATACCTAACTTGGTATCATTTCGCATTTGCAAGTTATTCAAAAATTAAAAAGCTTGAAAAACCTCATACTATATAAAGTACAGTGGGCCTGAAAGATTTTAATTTTGCTTTTATTTTATTCAATAGGCACTTAGTGAAATCCCTGAAATTGTCAAAACAGGTATATGGGTTGGTGATTGTTTTATTTATACAAATTCTCTTAATCGTATAAATTATTATGTTGGTGGTGAAATTGTAACAATATCACATTTAGATAGGTAATATAAAACAAAACTTATCTTTAATTTAAATTATTTTACATTAATCTATTTTAGAGTAATGTACCTATTAGGTTATGTTTCGAATGAAAATCGTCTATATTTGGGTGATAAAGAAATGTCTATTGTTTCATTTGAATTATCCTTAGCTGTACTTGAATATCAAACAGCTGTTATGCGTAAAGATTTTGAAACAGCAGATCAAGTTCTTCCAACAATAGCAAAAGAGCAACGAACACGTGTTGCACATTTTCTTGAAAAACAAGTTTGTTTCAAAATTTCTTTTCCATCGAAAGTCGAAATATTTTTTTCTTCTTTTATTAGGGTTATCGTCAACAAGCATTAGCTGTTACATTGGATAATGAACATAAATTTGATTTAGCACTTCAATTAGGAAATTTACCAATTTGTTATGAACTAGCACTTGAAATGGAAAATGAACAAAAATGGTTACAATTATCTGAACTTGCAACAAAATGTGGAGATTTTAATTTAGTACAAGAATGTTTAACACGTGCACAAGCATTTGGTTCACTTATATTACTAGCAAGTGCATCAAGTAATAAAGAATTAATGTCAACAATTGGTGAACATTCAAGAAAAAATGGACAATTTAATATAGCTTTTCTATCAAATTTTGTTTTGGGAAAATTAGATCAATGTTTAGATATACTTATTGAAAATCAACGTTTACCCGAAGCAGCTTTTTTTGCTCGAACATATTTACCATCACAAATTGGTCGTATTGTTGGTTTATGGAGAGAAAAATTAAAACAAATGAATATGGAACGTTCGGCACAAGCATTAGCAAATCCAACTGATTATGAAAACCTTTTTCCAGGTCTTGTTGATACATATAAAACAGAACAATTTTTAAAACAAGAAAATAAAACAAAATTAGCTCGTGATTATCCAATAATTACAGTAAAAAAAAAAAAACTTGTGGAATTTTTCTTTGTTTTTTTAATTTATTTTATTAACTTTTAGCCAAATTGGGAACGAAATCCTGTTGCTGAAATGAAACAAGCAGAAGATAATGAACAATATTTTTATCATCCAGTGCAATTGAACAAAGATACAACAGATGAAGATGATGGTGAAAATTTTTCCGATGCGAATGAACCACCAAAACAAGCTGCATCATTTCAAATCAAACAAACATCTGTTGTTCCTCCCCCTCCAACAACAACGACGACAGCAAATAAAGTATAGAAATAAGAAAAACAGGAAATCTTATTTTTATTAATTAATTGTTTTTTAGCCAAGTATCGAATCATCGGTATTAAATAAACTAATTCCAACTGCTGCTACATCAACAGCAGCAGCATCCGATCGTGCTCGTTCACAATCTCCAATGAATAGTTCAGCTGTTCCAACAACAACAACAAAAGATTCAACTCCTCCACCATCATCTATTAAACCAACAACAACTTCATCAACTGTTCCTCAATCATCAACAATATCCAAAACAATAAGTGATATTAAATCAACTACTACTGCTCGAAAAACATCATTAAGCGATCTTGAAAAAGAACTTCAAGAATTCGATATAGACCTCGATAAAGATGATGTAAGCGACGTTGACATTGGACAATCAACAGGATTTCATAAAAAATATACAGACGAGGATGAGGTAAAAACGTTAAAGTAGAAACGTTGTTCGGAGTAGCAAAAAAAATATACTTAACACTTTATTGCACGTCGGTTAACAAAGCATGCACTACATTCTTTAATTATATTTATTTTGGGGTATAGGAATAGCATGATAACATTAATAAAAGTCTTATTTTTATTGAATTCTAATTCTATTCTTTTTTTTCGTAATTTAGGATCTTCAATTTGATGATGATGATGTCGATGAATTTCTCAAAGATACTTGAATTCAATTGAATGTCATCATGTGATATAGATGTAACAAGTTGTCCAACGTATTCCATGCGTACACAAACACACAAATAACTCTATATCTTTATTTCTTCTTTTTTTCTTCTCGCTTTTTTTTTCTTTGTAACTTATCGTCAATACTATTGTTTTTATCAACGTTGTTGTTTTACTTTCTTTTCTTTAGCACTATATAGAAACATATGGTTATTACTTTTTTTGCCTTGATTTATTCGATCTGAAATAAGCAAAACACATACGTATATTTAACACGAATTGCTCTATTTAAGTTTTTTTTTCTTCTTCTTCTTCTTTTTATTATGCGGAACATGAGTCTAATTCAAGTTTTTCTTTCTTTCTTTTTTTTTCTTTGTTTGTTCATTTCATTTTTGTTATTATTTAAAAAAGCCGTACGTGTTTGTCTGTATGGGTGTTTGACGATTTGCTAAAGATGATAATTCTTTGATACGATTCTTTAAATGAGCAACAAGTGACATCTGGTAAAAAAAAACCAAAGACGACACATTGGTGATAGAAAATTTTCTTTGTTGTTTCAAGTTTCAAGTTTATATTTCAATAATCAGTTAGATAGAAATCGATGTATGTCATAAAAGTAGTCTTTTTCATTTTATTTATTATATCAACAGATAGTAAGAATAACAATCTATTATCTAATGATATTCATCCATGTTTATCTCGATCAATGGAACAAATTTTTCTTGAATATGAACAAGAAAAAATTGATTGTTCATCACTATCATCACAAATTCAAACAACACTTGCGATTCATTTTACATTTTGTCATTTAAATTCAACTGGTATTAATCCTAAAGCTATATGTTCTTTTACATCATTTGAAAGAAATATACATGAATGCTTGAAAAATATAACGAAAAATTCATTTGCTTATTTAACTTATACAAATTTTATTCCACATATACAAAGTATTTGTTATGCAATTGAAACACAACAATGGCATAATCATGTTCGAAATACTGTTTTACAAATAAATATACATTCGAATCAAATTGAAACTGAAACAAAACAATTATTAATTGCACAAGAAACAATGCAAGCTAGTCTTGATCAAGCACTTATTATAAATCAACATTCTATTGATGATGCACTTAATGTTGATCGATTTCTTCAAGTAGCTCAAACAGATGTAGATGAATTACAAGGACATTTGTATGTCAAAGATAAAGCACAAATTGAACTTATACAACAAGTACTTACGAATATAAGACAATTTGTTTTAGTTTTTCATATTACAATTTGTTTAGATATTAGAAATACTTTTTAATATTCAAACATCTTTGTTTACGGATGCATTTGGTTTAAGTTCATATTTTTTCTATGCAATATCACTTATTGGTATTCATATAGTGACAATACCTGAACGAACAAGTGATTCAAAGTAGTTAAAAAGACAGAAATCAAAGTGTAGTACTTTCAACTTGTCTATCTTAGATTTTGGTTAATACTTTTATGGCTCTGTTTGATTGGTATAGAACGTTATATGCTTATTTTTTCTTCATATTCTCAAGTAATAAAAATATTCATAGAGTATTATTTTAGTATGAAAGAAAAAAAAACTTTTAGATAATTCTTTATGATGCATTATGGCGTTTTCGTCAATTATGGCTTTTTGTGTCTTGTATAACATTGGCTTATCATGCTGTACGATATAGAAATTATTATAAAGAAAATCAGAAATTAATTGATGAGATTAATCATAAACACAAAAAACTGGAATTAGCTGCTAGAAAATGTAAGATTTTACATTAAAAAAACTTGATCTAAGCATTGGTTTTATTTTCTCGTTATTCAGGTTTACATGTTATCAATCAATTGAATATTACTAATGGTATGTTTAGTCATTGTGTTACCTTTTGATCATAGGCTGTATTTATTTAATATATTAGATTCTATCTCTGATGATGTCATAAGTTGTTCATCTGAAAACAATGATATGTCTACATCAAGTTCTTTGACTGATGATGAAGAAAGATAAAATATTTGATTATAATTTACATGATTTTTTTTCTTAGTAGAGTCATACATGTTACAGTCACTTTTTTTGTTAAATAAAATAAAGTAGATAATAATTAGGTATTCTAATATGTCAAAAAAATCAATAACGTATCTTTCTACTTACAATCAACAAGTGATCATGAAATAGAGAAAGCTTTATCATATGAAAAAACACTTAATAAATTTTTATTAATACTGAAAAAAATGTAGGTTCATTTCAAGAATTCAATCATTCAAGTGTTTATACAAAGTTCGATGAACGTGATTTGATTTTAAATGACAAATTTTCAACAGCTAAACACAAAGTCATCTTGCATTATGTCACTCAATCGGCATACCAACCATCATGGAAAATAGAGTGCCTACAATTTTGTCGAATACAAAAAATGTCGATTGCAAATTTGTCGATAAAATTTGTCAAAAAAAATTTGTCGATTCGACAAAATTTAAATCCAAATTTGTCGAATTCGACAAATTTTATTAAAAAATGTCGATTATGGTATTGTCAAACTACGTTTCGACGAATTTCAAATTCAATTATAAACACCTAAAATCTGACTTAAAATCCAGTTGGAATCAAGTTGAAATCATGTTGAAATCATGTTGAAATCAAGTTGAAATCATGTTGAAACCAAGCTGAACTGAAGTTGATTTCAAGTTGATTCCAACATGATTCCAACATGATTTCAACTTGATTCCAACTTGACTTCAAGTCAGATGTTAGATGATTATAACTGAATTTGAAATTCATCGAAACGAAGCTTGACAATACCATAATCGACATTTTTTAATCAAATTTGTCGAATTCGACAAATTTGGAATTAAATTTTGTCGAATCGACAATTTTTTTTTCGACAAATTTTATCGACAAATTTGTAATCGACATTTTTTGTATTCGACAAAATTGATGTTTTCCATATTATACGATGCAGAATTAAATGGGCTACAAAATCATAAAAGAATTTTTCTGGTAATCTAGTTTTGACCAAGACATCTGGGTAAAATACTAAAAAAACGGAGGAAGTTTTATATGCCAAAAAATACTGTATTTTAACATTTTCACTTCTACATTGGAGTTAAGGAGGCCTGTCATATATATAGTTTTGTAGAGCAAGTTAAGATCTATCTATTGGTATATAAATCAACTAGAAATATAAAATATTTCCTAGAAAAAACATTACAAATATGAGTAGGATCTGACACTAAAAATAGGTAAAACATGGTGCCAGCGACCGATATTCACGTTGGACAATCTCACTGCTCGAACGTTTTGAAACAATGTCTAATATATGATTCGATGCAGAATTGAATGGACTACAAAGCTATATAAAATTCCTTTTGGTGATTTGTTTCTCTCCTCGACATAAGACCGAAATACTGAAAAATGGACTAAATTTTATATGATGAAAAATCACTGTTTTTGGATTATTTCGATTCTAAATTGAGATCATAGAGAAATGTCATATATACAGTTTTGTGGAGCAAGTGAAGCTCTATCGATTGGTATATGACTCAATTTGAATAGTGAAAAATTTGCAACCAAAAAATTTCAAAAAAAATATAGGTCAATTTTTCACACTTTTTTGAGCTATTTTTGAGGGTGTCTGTGGTAGGACAGCCCTAGCGAACCAGAGGTAAATCTTTAGACTATAATATTTTGGATTCATCTATGGTAGATAAGGCCTGAAATTCCTAGGTGGTCAAATCCAAAATCGGTTGACCCCCATGTTTTTCGACAGTCGAAAATATTTGATATTTTCGTGGAACATCTCTTAGTAAAGCAATACAATCAAAATCTATGATGATTGAAATACATTTAATTCTTAAATGGGACTTTCACCAATAGAACTTCAACAAAAGCGATATATTGGCTAAATTCGAGAATTCCTAATTCTTCGACTTGTTAAGATTCCGATAGTTTCAATCGATTTCAAAGCTGAAACTGTTGAAAACTATAGATCTTGATTAAATATGTATATCACAGCTGAATATCGGACACCAAAGTACATATTAGTTTATTAGTTATCTGAAAGCTTATTTATTTCGTATCTTTTTCAAATACAACAATCAAAGCTTACAATAATGACTAATGCTATAAATACAAGAAAATATGGACACATTTTAATTTATTATTTTAATGGTATATTCATCATAGAAAACAATATAAAAAAATATGAACTTATGGGACTTTATCATCATTTTCTTAACATATGGCCGATACTATTAATAGAAAAAAAAATAGGATGATGAAAAAGTATTTGATGACAGAAATGATACAAAGAAACAGATAATATACAAAACGAAGATAGGCACAGGATTGGGTATACATGTATGAAAAAAAATTTAGACTACTATGCCAAGAAAAACTTTGACAAATATCGTTGACACCTTATCCTCAATTATTGTTGGACACTCTTTATAACCAAAAAGTTCTACTCAACAGATTTTTTGAATATTTACCAAAAAATTTAGCAAATAATATTTTAAAAATTGCCTTTAGTTAAATATTTATTTTGTATGTCTTCAAAATAGAATGAATATCTTTTTTTTTTACTAAATACATATTTTAATGTCTGTTGGACTTATTCATGTTATAATTTGATGTCATACGATCAAAAGAAAATAAACTTGTATAATACTATGACAAGAAAAAAAATAACAAGAAATACTATTTGCTAGATCTATTTACGACATGCAGTTTCATCTTAAAAAATAAAACTTAATATAGGATGCACAATTGTAATATAAATTACTAAGGATTCAAAAAATAAAAGAAATCAAAGATAAAACAGAACAGCTAAAGAAACAAATGATGAAATTCGATCACATAATAAATAGAACGAACAACATACGTACCTACATACATACATACATATAGTTAATCTTATAAACAAAGTAAAACGTGTAAGATTAGCTTAAAAGAATAATGCACTATTTATTTTTATTCGCATAGAATGAAGTGCATAAAACAATAAAATCCACATGTGTACAAATTTTAGAAGAAAAAAAAAAAGTAACTTTTTTATTTTTCAAGTCGATTGTGGTTCACTGGGTGATTGAAATTCTGGAAAAAACTTAAATTTATAATGTTTCATTTGCATTTCTCTTCCATGATCAGTTCGTTGATGTTCTAATGTTGGAACATGATATTGATGATTAGTTCTTATACCAATAAATGACCATTGTTCATCATTATTTTGACAACACGTCAAACATTCATTAAACATATCATTTAATTCATTTAAAAAACTTTTTGCTGAAAAACAATAAAGAAAAAAATTTATTCCATGTGACGTAAATTGAACGGAATTTAATGATATTTGAATCATATAACGATAGGTACGTTCGGTTTTGGATTCAAGATTATGACGAAAAAAAACAAAATAAATACATGCTGGAAGTGTTAATAAAACAAATGCAAATGTAACTATAATAAGTAAAACAGTTAATTGTCGATAACGTTCAAAATTTTTTCGTTGTACATTTGGTGATATCGATTCAGTTTGTTTACGACTTGATCGAACTGTTATAACAATGATATATGTATTACAAATACACATTATAGCAAATGGACATAAATTATAAAGAACTAAATGAACACGTTCCCATTGTGGATATATATAACCGGGATTATTTTGTGTTGCATAACATTTTATATTACCAGCTGATGTAACGTAACCATTTAAAAATAATATATGACTATTTAATGCAAAACAAATAAATGTTAAAATACTAATATAATATTTTGTATATTTTAGTTTTCCATAGGATTGTTTCCAATGTAGAAAATAAAGATTTAAAGCACGATCTATCAAAATAAAATCATATTTAATGTTTATTTTTTTGAAACAGAAATCGTTTTTCGAAAACTTTTGTTTAATCAAACAAAATATACAATGCGCCTCAATTGATTTTCCCCTCTTGATATTTTTTTGTTTTTATTGCTATACTTCTTTTATTTATTAACCTATCATATATAGAAAGAAAGTCCGGAACGCGCTGCATCTTTTGGTATATTTACATTTAACATCAAATGCAACTTAAAGTCTAAAAAGTGTATTAGAAAAAAAAAGTGACATTTTTTTAATACAGGGTGTCCACAGTATGGTAACATTTTTTATTTCGCGTATATCTCGGCTTTGGTAAATGAAAATATTTTGAATTTTTTTCCAGAAGATGCACCGTGAAAAGCTCTACAAAAGCTGCATGATCAAGTTCCTTTTTGCCTGTTCTGATGGTTTTTCTTATACTCAAAATGAAAAACCCATATGACAGTACTACTATCCATCATATTGAAAATGTTTGAAAGACTTTTTATTTTGTATATATCTTGACTTGAGACAATGATGGAATATTGAATTTGTTTTTGAAAGATGTGCCGTTGAAAGCTCTACAAAACACGTATAGACCAAATCCTATAGCGAATCAGAAAAGTCCTCAAAATATTTTCTATATGATGGAAGTGACACTGCCGTGTAAGTTGTTCATTTTGAGTATAAGAAAAACCATCAGAACAGGCAAAAAGGAATTTGATCGTACAGCTATTGTAGAGCTTTTCACGGCGCATCTTCTGGAAAAAAATTTAAAATATTATCATTTACCAAAGCCGAGATATACGCGAAATAAAAACTGTTACAACATTTTGGACACCAGGTATTGTAGTGGAAAAAATGTCACTTTTTTTTCTAATACATCTCTTGCACTTTAAATTGTATTTGATGTTAAATGTAAATATACCAAAAGATGCAGCGCGTTCCGGACTTTCTTCCTATATATAATAGGTTAATAAATAAAAGAGGTATAGCAATAATAACAAAAAAATATCAAGAGGGGAAAATCAATTGAGGCGCGCTGTATGTCAATTTAACCTTGTATGTTTGAATGAACTAATGGCGGAACTGCTCAAGTTTATGCATTAATTTTGAGCTCATTTTTCGGGCGTATAAAAAGAAAAGACGAAGAATTAAAATATGCTCGAAA